TTTAACTGGGTTAGTTATTTAGTCAGATAAATGCCTACTGGACAGGTTCAAAAACACTACCTAAGTTCAAAATACACCTGTTAATATGCAATCTTTCATTAAAATCTGCCTCCATTCCTGAGGACTGGAAGGTAGCTAATGTCACTCCCATCTTTAAAAAGGGTTCCAGAGGAGATCTGGGAAATTACAGGCCAGTCAGTCTGACGTCAATACCGGGTAAGTTGGTGGAAACCATTATTAAGGAAAGAATTAGTAGGCACATTGATGAACAAAAACTATAGAGGCAGAGTCAGCATGGGTTCTGTAAGGGAAGTTCTTGTCTCACTAACCTGTTAGTGTTCTTTGAGGGGGTGAACAAACATGTGGACAAAAGGGACCCAATAGATGTTGTTTACCTTGACTTCCAGAAAGCTTTTGATAAAGTTCTTCATCAAAGGCTCAATGGTGCAACCTCATTTGGAATACTGTGTGCAGTTCTGGTCAACACACCTCAAAAAGGATATTATAGCATTGGAAAAAGTGCAGAACAGGGCAACTAGAATGATAAAAGGATTAGAACACTTTCCCTATGAAAAAAAGGTTAAAGCGCTTAGGGCTCTTTAACTTGGAGAAATGATGACTGAGGGGTGACATGATTGAGGTTTACAAGATTATGCATGGAATAGAGCAGGTAGAGAAAGAAGTACTTTTCTCCCTTTCTCACAATACAAGAACTCGTGGGCACTCAATGAAATTGCTGAGCAGTTGGGTTAGAACAGATAAAAGGAAGTACTTCTTTAGCCAAAGAGTGATTAACACATGGAATTCACTGCCACAGGAGGTGGTGGCAGATACAAGCATAACAGCTTCAAGAGGGAACTGGATAAACATATGGAGCAGAAGTCCATCAGTGGCTATTAGCCACAAGGTATAGATAGGAACTCTCAGGCTGGGGCAAGTGATGCCCTGTATTCTTGGTGCTTGGGGGGGGGGTAACAGTGGGAGGGCTTCTAGTGTCCTGACCCCACTGCTAGACCTCCTGATGGCACCTGGTATTTTTGGCCACTGTATGACAGAGTGTTGGACTGGATGGGGCCATTGGCCTGATCCAACATTGGCTTCTCTTATGTTCTTATGTTAATTGATCAATAATTTCAGGGATAGGAGGCTTGCCATAACAAACGTTGTGACGTCCCCTTATTAGGGAGGACTGGTTTTCCCTTTAACTGTGCTCTTTGCTTTATAAACTGGTTAGATTCGGCTACCACTAGGAATTTAAGGATTTCCAAACCTTCTGTTTCTCTTACTGGTAGGGTAACACAGGGTCTAGGCTTTTCAGGGATCTATGTGGTCCTGAGGAATTATTGATATGACTTCTGGGATATTTTTAAATAAAATAGGATTTATTGAAAGAGGAACAAAATAAGAGGTTGGTTATTATGTAACTGGCTGGGAATAAGGTTCTTGTAAATATATTTGTCAACTGTATCACACACACTGTCAGTTTTAGTCCTTAAGATTCCACCCTGACAGGAATCTCACTTAGGCGACCACACAGTTTAATCTCTTGGTAAATTTAACTTCTTTAAGAACTTTAAAGTTTCACTATTGAAGATATATGCTGCTCTCTCTCAGATCCCACACAGAACTAACTGAACTCCCACTGACTGAAAAACATCAACTGCTTTTTTCCAACTGACTTTCATAACTGACTGACACACCCACACAGATTCACTTCAAAAAAACCTCCCCTCTCTGTCATCCACCAATCACAGCACACTTACCTCTCAATCATTCTACTCTGCTATCATCACGCTTCAACCAAGCATTTAAAGGCACACACACACTCTTAAAACAAGGAATCGTTACAAATATATTATGTGCTGGGGAAACCTGTTTTACAAGTTCATTATATTCTAATGTCTGAAACATCATTATATGATTGCATTATATGATTAAAGTAACAGCAAATAAAACCCAAATGTTATACTAAATTACTTTAAAACTTTAAAAAACCCTAAAAAATCTTATTAGGGTTTCTAACTTGCCTCCCTGGGTGAGATCTGTAAGTTTGAAGCTACACTCAAGTGTTAGGACACAAATCCGTCATCTGTGCTGGCACATTGACCACCACTAGCGTTGCTGTGCAAAAACTTCAGCTGATTCCCCATAGTTTTTCATAGGGCAGCAAAAAGATGGACAATGAGTCAGAACTGATTGTGACTATTTTCATGGGATATAAAGAAGTGCTTGATGGGATTCCAACCTGGGGTTCCCAGATGGTAGTCTAATACCCTTACCACTACACCACACCGACTCTCAAATGACGATAACAAACCCAGTTTGTTCAGTGTTCAAGAGATACAAACAAGGGCAGTAAAAGATTTCTAAAAAGGCTTTGTAATACCTGGATGGCTTAAAAGCCCCCCCTCCAATGATGATATTTTAAATCCAACTCCTGATGGATCAGAACAATCAGAACTGCTAGATTCAGCTCAATGGCTCCAAACTGGAGTGTCAGCCACATAGCTGGGTGTACCTCCAGCACATACAAGCATCCCTGCATCTCCCTTCCCTCAAGTAGCAATCTCTACCACCACAAAGCAAACACAGCTGTTACTCAGAGGTCCCTGAGTCTTGCTGGGCATGGGGAGTGAGGAAACTCAATGTTCCCTCTAAGCTGAGTTAGTGTGAGCTAGTTCACAGTTTTTTAACCTCCAGCTCACACATTGTTGTATTAGCTCAGGAAGGATGGCTCCAGAGCAAAGTGATTTATGCAGTAGCCAAATCGCTCGCTCACAGCCATCAAGGGAACTAGGGCAAAAAGGCAAATTATATAACCCATCTCCAAAACAAAGAAATTAGAGAAGGGTTCTCTTCCATTCCACTCTTGGGATTCTTCTTGGGAAAGGACTTGATATTTCACAGGCTGCAACGGGGACATGCCATTGCTGGACTCTAACACTAATGATTAATTTAGCAGAGACTGCATTCAAAGTGTGTTTCTTTTAACAATTTGTTTCAGTAATCCCTACAGCAACTCTGTCAGATGAATTGATATCTCCCTTAACGGCAGATAATAGGTTGAGGCTAGTAGACGGTAGTGTGCTTAAGATCAGCTAGCAAGTCTGTGGCAGAGACTAGATTTGAAGTAGTGGTTTCCTGGTTCTCAACTAAACATGTATGTCACTTAAAGAACTTTTCAGTCCTCCTGCTGCTGGTGGGAGCCCCACAACAGCTTTTGTTCAAAAATAAAGCATCAGTATAATCAGCAATGCAACTGTGCACAACCTTTGGCCCACCATTCTCTGGGGATAATGATACTGGCCTACCTGCACAAATGACTGAGTCAATTAGATAAATGCTATTTGTGTTTACTACCATTACTTTTCTTCAAGAGGAAATTCAAGGGTCTACAAAATAAGCTTTGACTTTTTTGGACTTTGACTCAGAGGGATGGTGTCTTTTACTATAGAGGTTCCATTTACTTATCACAGCTAATAGGTCTATCAACCGCAATACCATACACCTTGTGGTACTGCATTCTATAATGTAATAATTTAATACTGCAATGAGTGAAGTACTTCCTTTTTATTTGAATGACGCCTCCTGCCAATTAATTTCACTGTATGAGTGCCTAGCATTATGAGGGAGAAAAATGCCTTGCCCTCTTTGTTCAATTTGTTTTCTACCTACATTACAGCTCTTTTCCTGCCAGCAAAGAAAAAAATGCTAGAACCTTCCTACCTTTAGAAACAGTTACTGTCACTCAGGACAAAGTCAGTGCTGATGTCGCAAAGTGTTCGCCTACATAAATGAAATGTCCCTTGTATGTATGCTAGGGATAAGATCATTGTACAAATCATAGCATGCTATTACATCAAAATCACTAATGGGTTGATTTGAATTAAGGTCTCATTTAGAGAGCTGGTCTTGCTAAGGGAGATGGCTCCTTAAATTTTAGCTTCTCTTGCTAGATACTGAGGAATTCCTTATCTCTCATAGTGAAATGAAGCAGCACCTTCATAGTCTATGCAGCCTGCTGATACCAACTGCCTTCAATTGGGAAGTTAGATTCCCTATGTACAATCTTCCCCACTCCATTTGTTTGGGGTTGTGAATCTTGACATTAGTCCTATATGCATTCATTCAACAGCATTTCTTGATCCAGCATAGATAAATTACTCCAGAAAAGAAACTCAAGCACTACATATTCCATAATGAAACTAGAACAACTGAATCGGCAAAATGAAATACCACTTCCAGCCTTAATTGTAAAACTTAGTCCAAAACACCTCTAATGAACTCAGTGGGATCCAGTTTCTGGTTAAATACACTTACAATGGTAGTCTTACAGCACTGGTGCAGTGCACCACCTGGTGGCTGGAGACAGTGCTATGCTACAAAAATTCACATTGGTTCGTGGTCCTATAGTTTAAACCCTGGAAGAGTTTAAAAAATAAACCTTTTTCCTGGACAATTTTTTCAACTAGTCAAAATGATGAGATGCAATAAAGTTAAACTCACTGTTGTATACAATCATTAGTTGATACCTTTACCTCATCAGAGGAAGTATCTCTCATTATTTTCAGTTTAAATGTTTTAATAGAAACAATGCTCATATTTAAGCATGTTCCATGGATTTTTTTTTATGGTATAAAAATATACTGCCTTAAGCATATGCCACTAATTTTTCATGGTATAAAAACATATTGCCCTTTACATCAATAAAATTATTTTGTCTTCAAAATCGTTAGGAAAATTCCACACATATTCTTAAATTAGCCACACCAGAATGACCTATTAAAATGCTATATACTCAGCTTACCAAACAGAAGGAATGCTAGTGTAGCAAATTCATGTGGAAAATAAAGTTGGTCATAAGTTGTATCTAACTTTTGGAGTTCGTACTTAGCACACTTACTTTGCTCACACAGACCTCATGTGTTTCCACTGGAAAATTCTGGAATCAATAATAGATAGACATTTGTCTCATAAAAAATAAACAAATATTTTCATACCTTTGCAGCCACAATGCTCAGGCCCATCCCATTTTGTTTTTTCAATGTCACAGTGATTATCTCAGGTTCCTTTCTCAATGGTTGAGCCTAAAGAAAAGGAACCCAGATGAATTCCACAATCCTGAGAACGTTGTATAACACAGGATACTTAATAAATAATAATCATTCAAGATGTTTTAACACAATTATATGTATTGAGCTGTTGCATACAACTTTTGGTTATAAACCTCCCTTTATGTATTCAAGATTTTTCATACTGCTTTCTAATAAAAAAGAATTCACACAAAACTTAAAACCAGACCAAAAAACAACTCACAATATCAAAATACTAAGAAGAAAAGTAAGTAAGATAAAACAACCTTAATCTTCAAAGGCAGATTTAAAAAAATAAAAGTATAAAATGCTTTCAAAAAGGTAACAGGAAGGCAAATCAAATGCAATTCCTGAGAGAAGAAACCCCACAAATCCTGGGCTGCAGTAGAAATGGAAATTAACCTTGCCTCTTTGTAAAATGGAAATACAGACTAGAGGCTTGTTGGAAGATCTTAAAACACTTGAAAGCAAGAGTTCAGACAATAGTTAGTATTCCCTGGGGTCCTCAAGACCAATGAATGATAAAATCAGCACCTTGAACCGAGCAAGGAAGTAAAATGGAAAGTAATGCAGAGATTTCAGAACAAGTAAAATAGGAGCATGCTGGCTCAACCCTATTGGTAACTGGGCAGTGGCATCTTTTTATTAGCTGAAGTTTCTGGACTGTCTTCTACGGCATCCTCATATGGCAATCCAGTCTGGACATCATCAAAGCAAAGATAACAGTAGTTAGATATGTATCTTGGAACAGGAGCAGCCACTATCAGATCAGCCAAAACCAGAAAAAGGCAAGCCAGCCATGCCAACTATATGAGAATCCTGAAGTACAACACAAGTTTCAAACCTGCTCTTTTCAGTGGTGTATGCATGCACATGAAAGGTTATACCCAGAATTAAACTTTGTTGGTCATAAAGTGCCACTGGACTCAAACTTTGTCCTGTCCAGCAAAGGCATTTTCCCAATGCCCCAACTACCTGATTACCTTAGTCTGTGCAGTGTGAGAACTTGACAACATGTTCTTTGAAATCAGCATTCTTCACTTGGTTTAGGATCAAAAATACTTTTTTAAAAGACTGGCTTCATACCTAGCTATCCACATACATAACTATCTACAATTACCTTCAGCAAGCTTGCACAAGAAACTGTGAAGCCATTATTCAACAATTCAATTACTCAAGAGTTTACTCAAAAGTAAAAAAGATTGCTTATGCTAAAAACTTATGGAACAAACTGGCCCAGGCTATCTCTGACAAAAAAAGAATCCCATTTTGGGGAGTTTGTTTCATTTAGTTTAGGTAGATCGCCTCAACAACTAGATGCTCAAATATCTGGAAATACCTGGTATGTGCATCTTACCAAAGTTTACAAATCCATTTCATCTTCATCTAAGTTGTCAGGAATAAGGGAACGGGCCTTCGTTACTAACTTACAAATGCTACCAGAGAGGCCCCCAGTAAAGGAGACTAAAATCGGAAACCTTATTACATCTTTAGCTTCCAGCAAATCCCCTGGTGGAGGATTTGATTTCTACAGATCTGATAAAAGCCTTTCCCAACTGGTGGTCCCCGATATTAGCTAACTATTAGCTAACTATTCAATCAGATAAATGACTTGGGCATTTTCCCAGTTGGCTGGAAGACTACTATAGTAGTCCCCATTCATACCACCCTATAAACCTCCTTGACACAGCATCAAAACTTTATGGAAAATATCTTCATCAAAAGCTGGAGGATTGGGTCACTGACAATCATATTATACATCCCCACCAAGCAGGATTTAAAAGAGGCCAAGGTACAATAGACCACTGTCAAACACTTCACCAGTTAGCCATTCAGCTATGAATGGACCAATTACAGCCCTGTATGTATTGCTTGTTGACTGGGCCACAGCTTTTGATTCTATTGATAAAGACTGACTTCAGGAGAAACTGGCAAAGACAAATATTGATAAAAGACTGCTGTTCCTCATACATGAGTTATGCTCAGATATGTATGCAAAAATCAAAGTGGGCATTTCGGGCCCCCTAACCAGTGAAATTCCAGTGGGAAAGGGAGTAAAGCAGGGGTGTGTATTAGCCACTTTACTTTTTAATTTATATAAAAATGACATCATACTGAGACTATCTGGCCCAGAATTTGTCTCACCTACTATATGCCTTCAGAAAATTTCAGTCCTACTGTATGTGGACAATATGGCCCTAATCTTCCTAACTAGAATCGGCTTAAAGAGGCTTTTATAATCTGGGTGAATATTGTAAAGAAGAGAAACTCATTTTTAACTACATGAAAACTAAAATAATGTTTTTCTAGAAAAGGCCAAGAAAGTTTCTCTGGAGTATACATGGTATTCTAATTGAGCAGTGCAAAACTTATAAATATCTGGGTTTAACCTGAATTGGAATGTCCACCTAGCTTCTATAAAATCCTCAACCTTTAAGACTATCAGAGTAATAATGAGATTTTAGGGGAGTCTTCCTTATAGATCCAGTCTTAAAACTTTTGTCAGTAAAGTTATTTCCCATCTACTGTATGGCATTGAATTGCCATTTATACTTGAAGCCTAGAAACAAATTTCTGGCTAAGACATTAGAGCAGGGGTGTCGAACTCATTTGTTATGAGACCCAGATCTGACATAAATGAGACCTTGTTGGGTCGAACCATGTGTGTCATAAAATGTAATGCCAGGTAGCAGAGATATAAACTTTATGAAGGACACAAACACAAAGGTTTTTTTTACTTAAAATAAAAACATGCTTAAAATATTAGCACTCTTGCAATATTTTGTTTATTTAACAGTGTCTGGTAACTGACACCTCTTGCTCTGAATTATTGCATCAAAATGTCTGTGCTGTTTCAATCTTGAGTATGCTGTTCAGGTGTGTATCTGTAAGCTGCAAACCTACAATGATGCAGCAGCAGCAGCAGCACTGGAAGAAGAAGCAGAAGACAGCCAGTTCCACTGTGGGCCTGACAGAAGCCCTCCGGGGGCCTCACCCACCCCCAGGCCACATGTCTGACACCCCTGCATTAGAGACTTTATATTCTCTTTCTGATTCTGAAAAATTAGTATTTATGCTATCAGATCTGGATTCTCTTGTCTCCTATAGGATGGCACTCTTTGCTTTGTGGTTTCTAAGAAAGAAGTCAAATGAAATTATATGTAATTTTTGTGTCTGAATGAGAATTTTTAGAGATGGATGTTACATCAGAAATTATAAAATTCTTGGGCTGTAAATACATTTTAACTTGAAAAGGCCAATGGCCATATACAATAAACTTTATTACCTATTCAACAACTGCTTCTGCAAGATCCAACACTTATTGTTTAAGCGAAGGTCCCTTTGATTCCCACCAAAGACCAACAATGCAAGCCAATTCCTTCGGGTGGTGGGTGGAGATTGTTTAACATTTACCCAAAATGATTTTACCTGGTATGCTGGTTACTTATGATAAACCTGGATAATGCCTCAACACAGTTATAAATAAAAATGTATATATCTGTAGCAAGAGTGTATGTATACATATGTGCACATGCATTTTCATGAACCATTATGGAAATGCTTAACACAGAAGCTCGTTTGGTTGACAACTTTTTATCAAAATACAAAAAGCAGACTAACGATTTTCTTGTACTTTTAAAAAGTACTTTTCTGATACTGTGTACATGTGCCTCTACATTCAGTGGTAAAACTATTCCATTAACACCAGACTTAAGGCATAAGATTAAGTATCAAATTTTTTCCCACCAAGAAATACAAAATTAAACAAATTCTATATTTAATAATCACTGCTGTCAGTTGAAAGGGAGCAGTAAGCTTTTAAATAGTTAACAGTGAAACAATGGGCTGTAAGAAAAATCTAGCTGACCAAATCACTAATGCTGTTAGTTCTTTACCAACTCCAGTTCAGGTGATAGATTTGTCTATAAAAGTTACTTCACTGAAAAGTTTAAGATACTACACTAATTGTTCACTTATGCTTATAAAGCCCACAAGATGGGTACTTGCCAGATCAGCATTGTCTTGTAATAGATGGCTTTCATAATCTGCACCTTCAAAATAAATCGTCCATGTTCCTGGTGAGCGTGGATGAGGTGTTAACCTGCAAAATCCTAAAGGAGAAAGACAACGTATACTTAAACATGATTCATATTTTCCAAGAAATTCCTTAGTGTTCATGGAATCCATACGAAAAATTGTATTGATAATTTAAATTAGGAATTTTTGTTGGGTTTTATATCATCACTCCCTTTTCCTCACTAACAATGTAGGGAACAGTTAAGTTATACAGATTACTTTGCTTACATATTTGTAAGTGAATGCTACAAAAGTAAAGCAGAGCAGTTAATTATAATTACATTTATAAATGGGGTTGCACAGATATTAATGTGTTGCACTAAATAAAACATTAACAACCCAAACCATTTACTAACCATGACTAGACCAATATTTCCAAACTTCTTTTAAATTAATTTGTTTCAACAGAGATACTTCTGTGATATGAGATACTTCTGAATGAATGGATTAATATTTAAGTGTTAGCATGGACTTACAGCCCCATCACTTAAAATTCTCCTTTTGCTTTCAAAGAAATACAAAGTCTAAATTTTTCAAGGTAAAAAATTGTTGCCTCAAAAGGGAAAAAAAAACCTTTTACATTAAGGGAATTTTAAGTGTGCTTCTAGGGCTTAAGTGACAAGCTGTAATAACTACTTTCCAGAATGCTGATGGCTAACAAAAATGTTCATATTTTTCTCTAATTAAAAATCAGCAGTATATTTCCTACTTAATTCTCCAACAAAGTGACATCTGTTTGCATACAAGGAAAAGAGCAAGTAGACTGTACTAAATGTGTATCTGTACTACGACAACTAGTTGGAAAGAAGATATTGCTATGTCTGATCTATGGGATCTACAATAAAAACTCCATTGTAGGAACAACAAAGCTCTGGTTATAACGTCATGGTTATAACAGCAAAAAGACAAATTTTATTTAGGAGAACTATAGCAAAGAAAATACCTTCTGACCTAAGGCCAGACTAACCTCTTTGGCAAAGTGGATCTAAAAATTCTTGTAATCCATTTGGGATGTTTCTGACCACATCACATGAATAGCCATCTTCCGGAAGAAGAAAAGGTAGCTGTAGATCAGGATCCTCTTCTAGCTGTACTTCCCTACCATCACTACGAGCCAGTTCATCAGCAGTATTTTCAGCAACAGCAACAACATTTTCTATTAACTCCTGAGGAGATAAATAAACAGTTATAATGAGAATCCAAGCATGTGCCAAGTAGTTCCAAGTAATTTCCTGCTCCAGGAATTTCTTTTGGGTCCCCATCTTAAAAAGGTAATTATTATTGTTACAATTGTCATTATATTTATATATTGCTTTCAGTATTTAAAATGCTTCTCAGATTACTTTGCTGTACTTCTTACAACAGCCATGTATGGTAGGCCATCATTATTATTGTCATTCTATGGATGGGGAGCTGTTTGATTAAGATCACTTAGTAAGTTCATGATGGAAATGAAAGCTGAACCAAGGACCTCCTGGGCCACAATTCAAGAGGCTTCTATTTCCAAAATTGCAAGTGAGACCCAAAGAAATACTATTACTGTATTCAGCTCACAAAACCCCAGGAACTATCGTAATAGTGTGTCTTTATGTTCCTATGGCAATTAATACGTAGTGATAATTGCAGGTTTCATATTATACACATAATTCCTAAACCAAAGGTCTCACATGGATAGGAAAAATCTACACAATGGAACCAGCCTTTAGCTTTGCAGAAATGTTTGGGTTTTTTTTTTAAAAAATTACTAATTGGAGCATCTCTCCACCACCACCCTGCCACATCAATTAAACAAGATATTTGTGTGCATGCAGATGTTTATTCCTTTCCCTTGCGATTCCTCATGGGACACTATCTGTATTGTGCTTAAATTAATACATGGTGACATTGTTCAAGAGGTTGCAGGCAGTACAGCAGGATATGGTATAGCAACCAGCTACATTAAGCGGTAAGAAGTGAGTGCTTTCCACACTGATCAGTGAACATGTTAGAACAAAATACTGCAAGTCTAAGTTGCTACTCATATTGTACTAGAAGCTATAATCTAAGTTTTGCCTGGTAAATTATCATGACATTTGATTCCCAAGCCCCCAAACTCCATCTTTAGCATTTCAGTTTTCTTTCCAGTTTCCTTCTATCCAATGTGCAATAGCCTGTGTAAGGTTTCCTCACAATCTTTCTATTTTGCTTCGTCCTCTTTCTTTGTACCTCCTCTTTCTGTTGGGAAGCAGCCTCCTCCACCCCCTTGCGTACATGAGTGCCAGCTTTTCAACCCACTACTAATGTTTATACCATTTTCTTCAGCCCTTCTGACATCAGGTTCACCCCTCCAGTCAACTTCCAGCCCTCTGGCCTATCCTGTAGCCAAACACACAAAATCCTTCTACCCTTAACACAGTGCCTCCCCCTCCCCCCAAGTGTTTGCTGACATTTTTAGTACAAACATTTATGATGTTTGGGAATTTCCCTGATATCTCAATCATTAACACTAATTTTTTCTCAGTACAACTTCAAAAATATTCAGTCATTAAACACACTGTGTTACTGGAAAATGATATTTACTATTCTTAACTACAATCTCCCTTCCTTCTCTAATGTATTAAAAGCCAAGAATAACTTACTGTTGGGATAAATGGCTCATCTGGGGCACAATGATAATTCTGTAGCAATGCATGCAATTGAAGAGAATTGAGTTTAAAGCAGGTACTGTTAATACTTGGAATGTCTTCAGGTGAATACTTATCCATAGTAAGTAAAGTGGTGGCCTGAAAAAACAAAGTTATCTATAAGCAGAATCATGTTTTAATGTTCATAAATGCACTCAAGACAGCTCTTAAACAAGTATGAATTATGTGTTTAAATTACCACAGGCCAATCTACATTAGTCACATTAAACCAGTTAAGATAAATCAAACAATGCAGAAACTATAGAATAAAAAGAGATCCATATAAGAAGAAAACATCTAAGATAATTTTTCAATTCTTTGGTAGCCTTAATTTGCAGGTACTTTTCTCATATGATTCCATAAAATGACTAAGGATGCTACACTAAATTTCCACAATTACAAAAGAGGAACCCTGAAGGATTATGGAAGTAAGCATTTGTTTTTCTAGTCTCTTGCTAATACTCACTTGTACTATCCTGCTAAGGTGACAATCAGCAGCTAGCTCCAAGCCCTGTTTTTCAGCCCAAGCTTCAATATGTCCCAGCTGCTGGCGGATGATGGCTCCCCAGTAATGTGAACATAATCCTGAATCTGGATCAGTGACCAGTCTGTTAAAAAGCCACATGTTGATAAAGTGAAAGAGCTGGGAGAAGAGCTGGATAGTTAGTGCAGCATTCACTCTACAGCGTCGCAGCAGGGACATAGCTCCAGTTAGTGTATGCAAGACATCATCTAGAAAAGAAAAGAAAATTATATTCAATTGCATAACTCATTCTAAATATCAGATACTGAATATTAAATAATGAATTACAATAAAGGCATCTGCCACTTGTTTTACATCTCTAACATTTCATTAATCATATTAACTACATACCTTGTACATGGCTGAAAGACAAGGCAATACTAAAATTAAAAATATCATTGGACTTAAATCAATCTTTTATAAAGAAAGAAAGAATACAGACACTTCTGGGCTTCAGACTGACTCAACTTGCCATACGTTTACTGATACTCATTAGAATCAGGTTTTTAAACAATGATTTGTGTCTAATCTCTCTGAAATTACAAATCGCATTTGCCAAATGTCCTATTTACAGATATTAGAAAAATATAGACAAGTATTTATTTAAAATATTTATACCTTTTAGCCCAAGGAAGCTAAAAAATATGACCATTAAGGTCAGGAAACTATTGTTAAAAGCATCAGATTTTTTAATTAAAAAACTGGAAGTTCTATTAATTACCTGACAAATAACAAGTATCACCTAGGAATATGCTCCATCATGAAAAAGCCCACTGAGAGGATGATCTTCCACACCTTAATGAAAAGTCAGTGGAAATGGAGGTGGTGGTGGAGGTGTTTTCAGCCTGCTGTTGAAGACCCCCCCTGGGAAACGTCAACATTCAGCTTGGATCCAAAGAAGTGTTGCCATGGGTTCAAGGACTGCTCCTTGTAGAGCACTACTGTCTCATTCCCCCTTCCCCCAGCAGCTCAAATCATCCCCAGAAATACTTTTCCTGGGGTCCCTATGGAGGCAGCAAGTCCATTTTAACGGTCTGCCAGCAGAGGCAGGTGGATCCAACTGGACCCCAAGATGCTCCAGGGGACTGAAAAGTCCAAATGGTAGCTCTACTGAAATCCTGATGAGGGTCTGGAATACTCTGTTCCACTGAAAAGGGTCAATCCCTGGTGACCTCTCCCCTTTCTTAAATCACTGCCAGGCATCATAGTTTACTTTTAAGCTATCAATGCTGAGGAGAGTGGGGAGACGTCTAGAGTGTTGACAGTAAAAATATCAGGCCAAATTTTTGGAGCACACTGTAAACTTATGAGGCGACAGTGATAGATAAGTGTTACTTTTCTCTATCACTACACTAGCTGAACTGCATCCAGCACAACTGTTTAAGGTCATTCTGGAACAATGACTACAAGATGGAAGTTCCAAAGTGATAGCGATTAGATCATTAGCTATGCTTCTTTTGCACATTTTTTTTTGCTAGTAAATAGTACCATCATGGGAATCTCTGAGTTCCCCAACAAATGACAATTTATCAGTTTGGTATGTGTTAAGTATGACTGTAGCACTGTTTATGCTTTTTGGACTGCTCGTTTCAGATTGCCTTCCCTGAATTATAAAATATTGGGTATTGTGGGGGCCTTTTTTACCTGTCATTTGGCCATCAGGCTAATGTACAATATCTTGCTTGGATGTCCTGCTGCTTGTTGACAATCATAAATGCACTTCTCATCAAATTGATTTTTCTGAAGCCCCTGAAAGAGGCTGTCATCAGGCTTTGCTGAAGAAACTCTCTCCAGCAAAGTACTTTCTGATTTACCATTCCTGTGGAAGGTAATTGAACAGGTTGTGGCAAAGCAAATCCAGAATCTCCTGGATGCAACATCCACCCATGATAAATCTAGCTTTAGACATTTGTTTTGAAATATATTAGCAATAGAGATTTTAACTATAAAGATCAGACAAGATGATAGAATTAAGGGAATAAAAGTTGTGCGGGCGTGATCTTCAATCCTGAATCCACAAAAATTGTTACAATATGTAATTGAACATACTAAAGGATTTGGCTCTTTTTTCAGGCTATAAAACCAACAGAAAGAAGACAATTATTATATTGAAACTTTTAACACAACAAGAAGAATAGATTATAGAGAGAACAAAGTGCTCTCCGAATTAAATATTTGGGAATAAATGTGACTGGGCAAAACTGTAGCCTTTTCCAAAATAACTACCAGAAAACATGGAAATTGATACAAGCAGATTTATCTAGATGAGAAAACGTAAAAATCTCGTGGCTGGGAAGAATCTCTGCAATCAAAATTAATGTGCTGCCAAAACTAAACTTTATGTTCCAAATATTACCGATAGACAGAAGAATATTGACAGAGTGGCAGAGACAGATAAAGCAATTTATACGGATTGGCAAAAAACAACAAAAATCTTCAAAAGGTTACAAATCAAGGAAAAAAGAGGAGGATTAGCAGTTCCAAACATAAAATTATACTACCAAGCAGTGAGTCTGGATTATAGACTGGATTAAAAACCCAAGACAAAGAATAGTAAAATTAGAATTAGATGGCTTTGATGAAGGTTTACACAATTATTTATGGATTAAAAAATCCACTAAAAAGATTATAATGCAAGAAAGAATTCACATAATTAAAGACGGACTTCTGAGAATATGGTTTGTATGTCAAAATTTATTGAGCCCCCCAAACTCTCTTCATGTCCCCAACAGAAGCATACCATGGTAAGAAAACAAGAAATAAAACTGATATTTTTAACATAGGGCATAATTCAATTTAATTCAATTTATTACGGGTCTATATGACCGAAGTCTTGACCAAAAAGAGAATGCAAAAGGGATAAAATAGGTACATAGGGCATAATGATAAATGCTCAGGGGAAAATCAAGTTATGGCAAGATATCAGAGATGGAAGCATAAACATACGAAATCTGATGTATTATCAACCACCCTTCAAGAACATCATGAACACTGAAGGTGGAGCATTAAGAGACATGACTGAATCTGAACAACTGATTATAATACACATATAAGATCTCACTTTAGTGGGACTTTTGGTTTATGGCGACATGCTGGCGGACGCATCTCCCAGACCTCCCAGGGATGTGATCTGCGCACCAGCAAATAGGAGGGGGGGTGACGGGTTGCCACCCTCCCGGAGCCTTGGCAAAAGGCTCCTAGCCATGGGGCTTTTGAGGGGCGACCTCTTCACCAGCGCGATGCTGGGGAATTGAGGCGCTCCTCCACCCTGACGGTCCTGCCGCTGAGTGTCTGTATGGAACTAGAGCTGCTGACCGGGACAAGCCTCGGAGATCGAACGGTTGAAATGTGTTATGAGCGAGGTCATATGACCAACAATGAACACTGAGTCGGGTTAAAGCGAAGACGAGAATTTTAAAAGAAAGCTCCCCCCAGGAATGGCGAGAAAAGCAAGCGGGAGAGGGGCCCTTCCCATACGCATGAACTAAAAAACGATATACCAAGGGGGAAGTGGAAGCAAAAGCATTGAAATCTGTTTTGAGAGACTTACCAGAGTGCGGATAGGCACATGGGCGAATTTCAGAGACTTTAGCAAGCTTTTTTAAGAATAAACAATCCATAAATATGGTGGGGAAGAAGACAGAGAAAGACAAACTAGCAAAAGTGAAACTAGCAGGGAGCATAAGCCCTCGACCGGAAGAGGTCACTGAGTTCTCCAAAATGTTGGCAGATTCCTTGCACCCTCTGCTGGACCAGATGACCAACATTAACCAACAGCTGACAACTCTAAATCAGAACCTTGCAACTCAGCAGCTCCAATTGACTGAAACTTCAAAAATGACGGAGCAAACAGCTGAGAAGGTGAAGGAAATAGACGCTAACACTAAAAAAGTTAAGAAAAAGGTGCAAAATATGGGAAAAAAGCAAGCTTCGGAAGAATCTCAACTTTTACAGCTGCAAATGGAGAAAGCAAATTTGATCCTCCGGTTCCAAGGAGTCCCAGAATTAAAAGACGAGAATCTAAAGCAACTCTTGAGTGAAGCATTAGCTCCAGTTACAGATTTGAAAGTGGATTATATTGTAAGTGAAATGGATGTGGTCTATATTCCGTATACATCAAGAAAAATAATCTGCCTGGGGAGATAGTGGTCAGATTCTCGAAGAGACATGTGAGGGATTTAATCCTGAAAGCAACTACTGGAGTACCCTTGAAAATCGGGGACAACACCATCAGGATTCTAAAAGACATCCCATTTGAAATAAGACAAAAGAGGAAGAAATATAAAGATTTAATCTTTTTTCTCCAAACAAACAGCATTGCCTATAGATGGTTAATTTCAGAATGCGTCGTTTTCAAACTACATGATAAAAAAGAAAAGACTTATTTTGTCTCCAAAGCACGTGAGTTCCTGAGATTGCAACTGGGAGAGACAGCCGAGGTCGCTAAGGAAGAAGATGATAGCAAATCCAGTGGCAAATTGGACTTGGTGTCTTCTGACGAGGATTCTGCTTCCAGAAAGGGGGCGGCTGCTCCCAAACGTGCATACCAATTGAGGATTAGAAAAGATAAAACAAAATGAAGGCTGAAGAACTCTGAATTGTGCCTTCATATTTGTCTTTATTATTGATGATGCTCTTGAGGTTCTCTTTAAACATTTAAATTAATGGATTAAAAAGCTAAATAATTTAGCATAACCGACTATGTTCAATGTGATATTAGCAATTTTAGACTAACATTAACATAAACTGTTATAACATAATCTCCTATTCTTGGGGTTTTAGTTATTAGTGGTTTTCTTTCCTTTCTCCCTAGATGTAGTTACCCTTCCCTATTTTTTTTGTTGCAGTTTGTAGTTTATTAAAAAAATCCCCTCCAGGGGGGCCAAAAAAGGAGCTCTTACTCCAGCTAGAAACAGAGAAAGAATGAGTGAAAAAATGTATGATTAAATGGATGCAAAATTTCAGAGAAGAAATATGTATGCAGCAATGGGAATAACTATGGAAAAAGATATCAAATTTACAGCTAGCCAAGCCCTTAAGAGAAAATTGGTATAAAATGTTTTCAGATGCTATATAACTCCAAAGGACATCGAGAAAGCAGATAAAAACTATAAAGGAAAATGCTGGAAATTTCAACATATAGATGGAATCTTTTCTCACATGTGGTGGACTTGTAAAAAAGCAAAAAATATTGGAAGGAGATACACAGAAAAGTGCAAAACATATTGAAGTTTAAATTCCCAATGGAAACCAAGAACATGCTACTAGGTATACTGCCTAACAAATTACCGAAAACTTTAGAAGAGATACTCAAATACATGGTGACAGCAGCAAGAATTATCTATGCAGCAAAATGGAAACTAGATGCCTGTCCACACTTAAGAAGATCGGGAAAACAAATTTGCTAAATATGCAACGATGGCAAAATTAACAACATATTTGAGAAACAGGTCAATTATGAAATTTGAGGAAAGATGGAGTATTGTGTGTTCTATGCAAGCAGGAGACAAATTTAGAACGAGGAGTTTAACATACATTTGTATAATAATGTTTTAATGAGACAGAAGTAGAACTGGTAAATACTTGGGTATTTATGTAACAGGACAAAGTAAAAACATATATAAAAACAACTATCAAAAAGCCTAGACAAGTATCACTGAAGACCTGCAAAGATGGGGAAAACTGAGAATTTCATTGCCAGTTAAGATGAACATGAACATTATTACTAAAGCAGACCTTTTTGTTCCAAATGTTACAAATTGATATAGATGAAAAAGTTTTTTTTAAAATGGCTCAGAACGATAAATAGCTTTAAATGGAATGGAAAGAAACCAACAATAAGATTTAAAATACTATAGGATGGAAAAAAAGAGGCTGATACCAAATATTAAATACTGCCAAGCAGCTGCACTGGTTTGAATCTCAGATTGGATCATAAATCTAAATGGGAGGAATATCAAACTGGAAATGGCTGATACAAAAGAAAGAATCTTCTAAGGCAGCAGTCAAAGAATTGAGGCTCCCCTTTGCCCCTATAGGTCCCACTGCCGCAAGACCATTATGGATGCTGAGGCGCATGCCAGAGAAAGCGAGTTCCCACCCAGTCCCTGAAGCAAACGTCGGGATGAACTGTGAGTTTGAGCGTCTTTAACTAACTAAGCGGAGAAGTGATCAACCGCCCGAAAGCCCTTATTCGAATCGGTAGAGGAGTAGTAGTGGGGAATTCCCCCCCCCCCAGGAAAAAATTGCGAGGTATAAAGCCTGTCTCTTGTATCAAACTGCATTCTTAATAACAACCTTATATTCTTAATATCAGCTTCGCTTTTATATTTTAACCTTTGTGTGCTGTAATTTTGTGGTTCTGCGGGGGGGGGCTGGATTCAATTATAACCAATGTTAAACAGTTACATGTTCCCTGGCTCGCTTTGATCAATTACACTTGAAACAAAGGTTCTCTTTTAAACAGCTTGTCTTTTCTTCTTTTTGTAATTTGTTTTCAATAAGGTCTTGGTTCTGTGCCTTTTTCCCTTATAAATAGAGAGGATTTCTTTTAGTGCTCGCCATCTATATTCAAATTTTAGGGTAGTTAAGGATTCCATAGATTCTGTTCCATCTTCTCTCTGGAATATTTTCCCCTTTATCACTTTGATGATTCTAGAGTTTTGCAGACTTTTGTTATTCTCAGTGTAGGTTAAATCAAGTTGAATGTAGTGCTGTTCTGCGTCTTGTCCAGTTTGTTGTAGGGGCTCCTCTCTGTAAGTTAAATCAGCTTGATTGCAGTATTGTTCTAAATTTAGCCCATTTTGATATTTAAGTTCCTTTTCTCTGTATGTTAGATCCACTTGAGTGCTGTGTTGTTCTGCTTCTTGCGCTGCTTGATGCTGGGACTCCTTTTTGTTACTTGTAATCTGGTTTGATGTAACACCTTTTTTGACAAATATTGGCTCAAATGCCTCATCGACACCCTGGTTAACTGTATCAAAAATTAAAGTCTGAAGCTTCTCCCATGACAACTGCAGCAGGCTGGTTTCCGTAGAACTGTCTATGCATGTGTCATGTGGTATTATTTTCTGTATGACCTGGTCACCTATTTTAATGCAATACCAAAAATCCCAGTTCAGCCCAACAATACTCAAACGCTCTGCAGATTATTTGCCCATAGAGTCTTTCAGGCTGACCGTGTTTACCAGATAGTGCCTCTCACAGAAGTGTTACCAACCAAGAATCCTTTCACACAATTAACGTTCTTTGCAGCTCTAGACAAAATAGCAATGAAGCATGACATCATTAAAAAATCACCACAAGAGTAAGGAATTTAACTCTAGATATCTCTCTTTCTTTTTCCAATAAAAACTTTATAATCCTTTTGTAGAAGCTCAAACGATAGACCCTATTTGCCCCACGAGATATTCAAATCAGCTTTCTTTACATAAATCGTCCTGGCTGCTCCACGAAGAAGGGGGGGGAGTTTCACCCTTCCTTTCCGAATCTTTTTAAAACTTTAAAGGGGCTTTTTGCCAAGAGGTCGTCAGTTTCTTCGATGTTGCTTTTATAGGTACTTACAGTGGATTTCTTCATCAATGTTACTGATGAGGCTCAATAGAACTCTCTTAATTCTGGGGCGTTCACAGCTAGTGCAGTTATGGCTGCCATCCCAACTCTGCTTCATTGCTTGCTTCTGGGATGATCTAGGGCATCAATCCGTTTGTTGCCTCAAGCGGGGGCCCTGAATCAAGTCCCTTACAGGAGGTCTGATGGAATTTGGGATCCCCCAAGAACCCCTCTAAAACAACGAAGAGCCGGCGGTACTCCGGAGCTATTCCTGGTGCTGACCATGTTGCTGCCCCACCCTTTTCCGACAAGGTATCTAAATGCACATACCATTCATGTTACCATGATGGTATGCAATATTACTGAAAAATTAGCATTATGCTAGTATTATATAATATCATCAATACAATATAATATACAATCCCCATGTTTCTCTTGCTTAGAACCAAGAAATGGGAAGCTGGGGCAAGGGATGGCTCAGCTGTAAGACTATGTAAACAGAGTATATAGAGTATGTAAATAGAGTATACTTGGGGTATAACTGAGAGGACAAAACTTTGCCTTCACCCAGAAACAGAAGTCATGAGGGGCTGGTTTAGCCTCACACTGAAGTTGTCAGGGTGCATATCTTTCTTCCATATGTAAGTGAACATAAGCCATACACTCGCATCTATCACACTTTTATAATGCCTATCCTCTAAGACGTTCAGGAGGCTGAATATAGCTCTCTCCCCTGCCACTTTAGCCACATAATAACCATATAAAGTAGGTTAGGCTGAGAGAGAGTGACTGGCCCAAGACCATGCTAGAAGAAGAACAGAGTAGGAATGTGAACTTGAGCTGCCAACCATTCATGCATACTGACCTCCATATTGCGTCTCATATGGGGAAAACACAAAGTACTGCACCTAGGAAGAATACTGCAACCTTTTGACATACGGCTGAATTTTTTTTGTTTAAAGCCCATAGGAGGGTGTAAACAATTGCACCTGGAATTTGAATGTTTACATATATCCCCAACTAGAGGACACTACCATATACAAGCTTCCCTACCAAATAACTACCATGATAGCAAATATTGGATTTTATATAACGTAATTTTCAAGGATCTAACCTATTTTAGGTCTTTGAGGATTATTTTCTTCTGGATCATCAAGAAATGCAGGCATGTAGTTATTAAGCTCCGACTGAAGACAATGAACCAAATATCTGAAAAAACAAGGTGGTTTTTTTTTAAAAAAAAATTAAGGCACTCATCCAAACAGAGAATTTTTAGCTTATTTTTTGGTCAGTAAAAACAGATAAATGAACCAGTTAAGCCAAGTAAAAATCTCATAGTGTAGAATGTAAGACATTCCTACGGAATATATTAAGATTTTCAAATTAGTTAATTTTTTATATTAATCCTATGTACAGGCAATTAAATCAATGTATTAATAAGTAATATTTATAACATTAAGCCATTTGTGAAACTACATCACCCTCCCTTTTTTACATTCCAGCATATAGTCTATCCTAGCATATAAACTTTCATAAAAGTTTGGAAACTGTGTGTGTTCTATCACTAAAATCTTCATCATAAAAAACAAACTTCATAATATTTTCCCAGTTCCTCAACGTTCGAATTGCCGTGAGTTGGCTGAAGCATCTACAAGACTTCTCTCTTTCTCATGGTGTATCTGATAAGGGGTAGTGGACCTGTTATATTCTAGGAGTTCTTCTTTGCTTCCATCTGCATTCTTCTTGTATGCTTGTAAACTTTTTTTAAAAAAAACCCGCAAATCTCCACTGCTTTTCTTTTCAAAGAGTACAACTTCATGTAGTGCTGGAATGTTTTGATGTCCAGGGAAATGAAAAGCATATAACAGTCTCAAACATTAATACACTACTCCCAGTCAATAAAAAAGTTAACAAACATAAAGCATGCATGAAAAAAAGGAAAACACAACCTTGGTACCACTTTTACCTATATAAACACTAACATTATTTCAAAACTATCCTTCATCAAGATCATCAGGAATGCTGCTTAATAGTGGAAGAGTTGATAATGACAGTGTTCATTGATATTATTAAATTTAGTTGCTATCTACTAAAAATATAAAGACCTACAGATCTCTAACCCAGACAACCAATACTCTGGAAATTGGATAAAAAGGTGGTAGAGTTTATTTTTCTATTTCCAACCAGAAAGATCACTAAATAATTTCATTCTAGTATGAACTTGTATTTAGAAACTTTTGAATGTGCCCTTATAGACTCCTCCTCTTCTGTTGTTTCTACCATTATCTCTAACAATGCAAAAATAAAACATGACCAACATACAAGAGCATGTAGTAATATGCCATTCTTACTTGAATGCCATTTGAACTAAGTGTGCCAAAACATCTTGTGCATCTAGTGTAATTCGGCTAAGGTCTCGGTCCTGCTTTATGAAGTTTAGCAGCTCAGATGCATTTGCCATCCAGAAAGCAAGTGCCCCTGCAATATTTTTCTGTTTCTGTAAATATTAAATGAGAGATATAAATACCAAAAAGCCTCCTCACAGTAATTAAATTTGAATTCACTGTTAAAAGGCTGTATTTAGATAGACCAGTATCACCAAACGTAACTCAGATACCAGATATTTGCAAATATTTTATATGAAACCACAAATATGCTGGTCATGATGCAATAGCTTCAAATTGTAAGATATAGTTTAATTATCAATTATTACATATTCCAAATGCTATTAGTGGAATGGAGTTAGCATGTTGTCATGGAATGCTGAAAGCGTAAATGTATGCATTATCTGGTAATCTGTGTGTGCACAAGCACATGTTCATTAATGCCCACTGCCACCCAGATACTGCTAGCCACTGGCTTTGACACCAAGCAACACAGTATCAAGTACTGATCTATCTCACCATTTCCCGACCACAAACGCTAGGCCAGGCAACCTCAGATGAGATCCAAAGAACAGAACCATAGACAAAAAGGAGGGAGGAAAAGAACTTTTGTCATTACATCTCCATACTGAAGTGCATTAAGCAGAAATTATGGAATGCTGATAAGTTGCGCATTCAAAAAAGGATTTTAGTACTGCATGTTCCAGCTGCTGAATGAGTGTTATGAACTGTTCAACCCAGCTGTAGAAATATTGTATTTTATATGGAAGCAGCATGAGAAACTGAGCTAAGCCAACACAGCTAGGATCAGTTCCCAGCAATATATCCTACCTGATCAACCTGGTCTACCTCCTGGAGAAAAACGAACGAAGGAAATCAAACAGAAGAAAGAAACTTGTGAACAATCATGGTAGTTTTAGAAATCAAACACTAAATATGAAGGCACAAGACTTATGCTCAGTCACATCAAAACAACATTTTACCAGGAATGTTATAACTTAGAAAACATTTTTAAAGGGTGTAGGCAATGAAATGGTATACAAATGTTATTTTGGAGAAAACCTAGGGTTTCCCAGTGTGTGTATTACTAAAGATTATCCTCCTCCAGCCAATTTAGATGCAATTTAATGCCAAAGTATAATACCGCACAGATTCCCCCCCCCCCCTACAAAGTCTCATCACATTAGCCAGTACAGCCTTCCTTTCCCACAGGCTTTGTGCTGAACTGCAAGGCACACAGTTTTTAGCCTGGACTATTAAATATAGATTTATCGAGATAGCACTTAAAAATAGCATTTGGAAAACATATTGGGATCCACCAGAAGAGTTTAGAGAAGGTGGTGCTGGCAGTGCAGATTCCTTCCTCGCCTTTCCATTCTTCAAGCTGCCTGCTGTTTTTTCCCCAATGCTCTTCTGAATAGCAAAATAAGCAACAGGACCTTGTGTGTGTGGGGGGTGTATCAGTGATGTCAGGGATCAAATCAAATCAGCTATTTTTCTCCCTTTGGATGATGCAAGCCATCAAAATCACCCCTGTCAATCTAAGTGCTCCTCACTGGATCCAACCCTATATATTTTATAAAGAAAGCTCTTTTGAAGCTTTCTTTGTAAGATATATTTTAAGAATTAGCTACTCTCTCATGTCAAAGTTTCTTTGAATCCTTTGTATGTAATATATAATTTCTAGTTTACAAGTACTGACAATAAAATACCTATGCACCACTAACAGATTTTTGCACTGTATCACTGAATGTGAAACCTGCCATGGTTACAACAATCAATAAAACCCTCAAAGCATAATTTTTACCCAAAGGTCAAAACTCCCTTGCTTTCCTGCCGTTTGAAATCCAACGTTAAACATAATTGGTGCACAAATGTGACATAATAAACATCAGTTGCTTTCCCCCATACTTTAATAACACTCCCTGGACATTTTTGCTAAATTAGCCTCTCCCTCTGGAAACCCCTAAGTCACACTCAACAGTTTTTCTGAAGGTCTCCTGGCATCCCTGCCCCAGGGAGCAACATTTCACAGAGTGCCAAGCAGGTGGCAGTAAAAACGGAAGAAAGATTCATGTAATGAGGGAGTTCCGTGGAAGTCCTTTGGACCCAATACCATTTTTTACTTTCTAACATAAACCAGATTTTTGCAACCCAAATCTAAGTTCCTAGTGTTCACAATCAAATGAAATATATTTGTGGGTATTCCTAAACAGTGAGACACTGGCATTTTAATTTTTTTAGATATTTATACCCCACTTTTCTCCCCAATGGAAACCTAAACAGGCTTACAACACAATTTGTTCCTCCTCGTTTTATCCTCAACAACCTCTACATGAGGTATATTAGGCTAGGTGAGAATGACTGGACAAAGGTCACTCAGGGAGCTTTTATGGCAGTTACTTTATACACTCAGATACTATTGATCCACCAAAATGTATCCTATTTACAACTTTACATTCCAGATAAATTATATAGCTTTTTAATTTAATTTAAGTTTGTTTGGATAAAAAAGTAAAACAAATGAGTCAGCAAGAATTTTCAGAGGTGTGGAACATTTCACAAAAGCCTCCCATTTATTTATTATCACTGACCATTCACGCTTTTCCACTGCAGCCAGGCATGATTCTCCACTTACTTGCAAATGCTTATTACATGTGGCTATACAACATATCAAAGAAAAACTGAGTGGCAGCGGTACTTTATGTTCTAACTCTGATATTTTTTTGTTTTAAAAGGATGGGGGAAATGACAACTGACTGATGTGGAAAACATAACTGCCATTACCCATAAGTGGAGGTTCTTTTTGTATCCCCCCCCCCAATACTACTAGATGTTTGGGGAAGCAAAATGGGAGAAGCATTTTTAGCTAAGCCTGACAAAAATATCCAGACGGACACTTCTATTCTTCCATCTAGATCAAGTTATTCCTTCAATATCATTTTTCAGTTGCTTGCTCTTCAATATTTATAGCTCATTAAAGGGTTTCCAGAACTGGGTTGAGAAATGCCTGGAGATTTGGGGGGTGGAGTCTGAGCCGGTGGGTTTAGGGGAGGGATTTCAATGGGGTATAATGCCACAGACTCTACCTTGCAAAGTGATCATTTTCTCTGAGTGAACTGATCTCTGTTGCCTGGAGATCAGTTGTAATCCCAAGAGATCTTCAGCCACCACCGGGAGCCTGGCAACCCTACCCATCATTCAGATTTGGTTTCAGTTTATACCGTCCAATGCCATATTAAAATATTAAATTCTTTAGGTATCTAAACATTGTTTGGGATTCCTTAAGACGAAACACCACAGCATATTTTTAAACATACAACTTTTCTTCCATCCTAACCCTAACGGCCTAAGAAAGCATAATCCTTTTAACAGACCATATTGAAGCAACTGATCCAGTCTGAGGTATGCTATTCCATGCCTCCCCTCTAAGCATCCAGTAAACCATTCTTTAGCCTCCTCATACAGCTACACTCCTGCTTTCCTAGCTTATACTGAAGGTGTCTGAGACAAGAGAAAGTTGTTGAATGAGTGTATGGCAGATACAGATCTGCCTCTGAACAAATGGCTTGGCATGGCGCTGCCTGCCTAGCAGTGTAATGGTGTCTCAATGGAAGGATTCTACAGAGCAGCTCTGTGTGTATGGGCAGCACCGGATTGCATTCCATATCTACAGAGCAACTCTGATAACTGAGAATCATGTAAAGTCAGAAACAGGACAATTTAAAATAAAAGAAAACAGCGGAGGAACATTAATAAATGGAGAAGCATGCTTTTAATCCATGCAAAATAAAATCTTGAATGCAGAACACCAAAAAAGGTGTCATGCAACCTATAGTATTAATTAGTAACAATTAAAAGGCTTAATTATATTTAAGTATAATTATCAAGCCCGTAGCCACGATTTTTAAAGTCTGGGGGCATTTAAATTTCTTAGGGGGCACTGGCTAATCGATACCCGGCTCCTTCGCCACACCTGCCACCACTCAGGGGCCCTGGACTGGATGGGAAGTTGTGGGGCCTTGCCAGTAAATCAGGGGGCATAGCCCCGAGATGCCCCACTGTAGCTACGGGCCTGATAATTATTCCCAATTATCCGACAGAATCCACAGATCTTATTTAAAAGCCTGGCTGGGTAAATAAGTTACTTACAAAGACAACATAAACCATGGTTAAATCAGAATAGTAAAGTCAATAACAGATTTAATTCATGCTGTAGTGAGTATTATATAATGGGATTCTATACCAACAACTCAAAATCACGAACTAAAAGACTTGTGTATACCTATTACCAGGGGTCATTTCGTAGAAAAAGAGCTAGGGGAACTCATTAGCATAACTCATTAGCATATGCCACACCCCTGACATCAGGGGCCTGGCTGTGGACCTGCAAGGCCAGCAGGAGTGCGAGGAAGCCCTGCCAAGGCCCTCCCTGGCCCCAGGCAGGCAGGGGTGGGGAGAGGCGGGGAGGAAGCAACTTACCCTCCCTCTTCTCCTGCCTCCTCCTGGCTGAATGAGGGCTGGAAGTGGGGCGGCCGGAAGCAGGGGGCGGGCGTTCATCATGTGCCCCGCCCCCTGCACCTCACCCGGGGGAACTGCGTTCCCCCGCATTCCCCCCCGAAATGACCTCTGCCTATTACCATAACCTTTTATTAGCAGAATTTTCCGTTTATCATCTCATAACAAAGTAGTTCCATGCAAAAAAGCACCAGTGTTTTTCTGGATAGGATTTAACGGACGAGCTTAAATGTTCTTTGCTGCAAATGAACAATTATTTCATATGATATTACAAACTGCACTGTGATGTGTAGTGCCACTATGGAACACCAAAGACTGTCAGTGTTAACCAGTTCTAATTTTCTGTAAAAAAAATCTGTTAAAAATCAGGTTATTAAAACATATTCCAAGAAATTTTTGGTATGTCTCTTCCTGAAAACTCACCTGTATAACCCCTTCCATCATGCTCACCATCTTCATCACTATTGCAATTTCAGCAGGACTGATGTCAGGTCTGTACTGGCTTGACAATACATACCGGCATGTCATGTATAAGACATACGTAGGAGAAAGCTTAAAATGAACTGTTGAGCTATTGGTATAATTTATAATGGCAGACAAAAAGGCATCTTCAGCTGAAGAGAAAGAAAAAATGACAAACCAAGAATAATATGTATATATTTAACCCTAGAGGGTCTCTGATTTTTGCCAACAGGCACGTGAGGTAGCATTTGACACTACATCAGGGGAAAAGGCTATTTTTATTCTGCCCTTCTTCCAAGGAACTCAAGGCAGCTTATAGTTGCCTGTTATTCTACCTTAACCCCATGACTACTCTGTGAGACTATGAGAGATAGATGTTCCCAGGATCACCCAGCAAGCTTCATGGTTAAAAATAAGGATTTGAACGTGGGTCTTCTGCTCTAGTCTGACACCCAATAGTATACTACACATGTTCTTTCTTTAAAGACATAAGAAACAAAAATATGGTACATGGATTCTAATAAGTCACATACTAGGAACTCCTAGGATCAGAATCCTATATTCATTTCACAAAGTTTCTTGTATTTCTAATATAAGCGCTTAATGAATTTTCCTTCCCTCCCCACTCCTTCCCTCTCACCATTCTTGAAGAAAGGGATTTCTATTGACAAGATATAAAATGAATATATTTAAACTTCTTCTAAAACAATGGCATTTTTTCCTAACCTACATTTCTTTTACTGAACTTTCTTTTTAAAGCACTGTTAATTGTGTTACACCTGAATTCAGATTTGAGGTAATACTTACAGCTTTCCCTGAATTCAATGCTCGCAGGTAATATCAGTTCAGGCCCATGTGCATCCTGTGGTCTAGAGGCAAAAGGCAGACATTCAATAGTCCAATTCAAAGAGTGAAAATTAATTCCACTGTCAAAGGATATGGACTTCTCCAAAGCGTTTGTTTTTGAGAACAGATACACCATTTTTACTCATCAGTTAATTAAAAATATGATACTACTAAAAATATACTATTCCATTTAAGTTCTGTTCTTCTTCACCCCTCTTCCTATTAGCCCCACTCTCAAGCAATACTTGGCCCTTAACAGCAGACATCATGGTACATACTTGAATTCAGAATCTGCATTATTAATCAATTTGCGGAGCACAATATACTGATAAAGGCAGCTTGTCACCCACAGTAGAAGACTCATGTTACACATACACTCACACATACCTTCAAGAACAGAATTAGAGATTAATTTACAAGCTGCTGGTAACCTGACCTCTCACTCTGGTAAATTAATGTCTTAATTTTACATTATAATCTATTACAGAGACAAAGCCTATATCATATTTTAGTTTATGTAATACCAAGCGCTGAGCCACATGTATATTACTTGATAACCAGCAAACGAATGTGTGAACTAGCCCCATTGTTAGGGGTCATACCCTCCTTACTTCCTATACACAAGAGTCAATGAATTTTCCAGGCAAACTATAATTAGTTATTACTACAGAACCAGACTAGTTTGCTCTCTTCCCTCTAAACCAGGATTAAACTAGAATTTTGTTTAGAAGGAAAACAATCAATCACTATGAGATTTGAAAAACTAAGGTAGGTTGTCTTACTTTTCTACCACCATTAAACACTCTATGTTCTCAATAGCTGGGCATTGCCAATGGCTTTAAAAGGCTTGCAGAGCTTAAATCTCAGAACAGTATACTTCTCTTAACAATGAAAACCTATAAATGAAAAATAAATGCAGCAGATTTTGTCTTCTCATGGTCTGTGTTCTTTGCCCTTATTTGGCTTGGTTAAATTTGTAGTAAGGAACATTTAATTAGATCTGCCTTCATTTTCTGCTTTGGATCATAACTGACTATGACAATGGCTTCCCATCTACCCTGCTGCCAGTTATATTTAACAACCTGTCTGTCACACATACACCCTTTTTTAACAAAAACCTGCTTGCAGCTGAAACAGATTTCACAATAAACTTGAACACACTTTGAAAGTGATTAGAGGACTGGCGGTACTATGAAATATTGATTAGATGTTTTGCTACAGCTTCTAATGAATCTCTCATGTAATATTATACTTAAAGTGGATTAAAACTCTAAGCACATTATCCATGACTATGAACTAGAACCCTGAGCATATGAAAGGATTGCAAGAACCCTGAGCATATGAAAGGATTGTGATTGCAAATGCACAGGAATGGCACAGGAAGAATTGTCTTGCAGCACACACAGGTTTGGCCAAACAGACTTTTCCACAAATCACACAAAATAATATGAATAGTTTCATGTTTTGCTATTTGAATTTTACTTTCACCAGAGAGTGAAGTTAGGATCTCACAGCAATCTCTCTCTCAGCATACCTAAATCTGTTACTGGATAAACATAAACAAAATGCATTAACTTCTTTACACTCATGATTGCTTGAGTCCTGTCTTAATCCTGCTTCCTTGCATCAAAACAGATGATTTTTTAAAAAAAAATCATCACATTTTCTTCCCTAAAGAACTCCAAACCTTACCTCATAACCCCAATAAGACTTTTTAGCTGATGCAGAAGAATCACCCTACCATGTTAACACAAGGGCATCATAACCGGATCTAGGGAGATATTTGGTAGCACTACCCAGCTCTGACCATACTTAACAAAGGTAAATTTCCTGCTCTGTCAAGAAATCCAAGCAAGTTGCTTTCTACGCAGAAGTAAAGATGCCATGCCAAACTCAAATATAGAAGTCCAAATAGTTCTTGAGCTACACCACCAGCAACACTGAATTATGACCATGTGTGATGAGTAATGCTAATATTGTGATTTCTGAAAAAACTGGGCATCCAAAAGATACAGAAATAGGTGGCATACTTGCAGCGCTCACTTGGCTTTGCATGTAATTTTAACATCTATGCTCCCTTCCACCACATATACACACACACAGAGAGAGAGAGAGAGAGAGAGAGAGAGAGAGAGAGAGAGAGAGAGAGAGAGATTAAAACCCTAAACAGTTAAATCCTTTTAAGTCCATTAAAGGGAAGGGAGTTAGAAATAACCCTGTTTAGGACTGCACTGACAGTCATTTTTATTTTGTCACTGTTTTTGAATGTGAAATTCTTGTTAAAAAATACTTTTTAAAGCTCTGGAGGTAAAATTTTGTCCAAAGATAGCCAGATGTGCATACTTGTTTCTGCAATAAATAGAATGATTACATGTTTAAAGTAGCAAAGGCTAAAAGCATATTACATTTTTTCTATTAATGAAAACTCTTGCAAGACTGGAGATTTTTGATTGTCTGTGTTTATTACATTTCCTTATGTTGAAATTCTCCCTATTACTGTTCATTTTTCAAACTGCAATGACCATGTGTTGTGTCCTGTGATCTGCTCACACAAAAATCACAGGATCCTCACTTTCGCCTGCATCCAATGGTCTCTTCCAACCTGAAAAAGTTAATTCTTGGGATTACAGAACCAGTGTGGAGTAACAGCTACATAAATCAACGAGCTGCAGTATGGAAGAAGGGGGCACAATTACTCCTTCAGTGTTTCCAGAGACACAAAATTAGAATCATAGAGTTGGAAGGGACCTCCACGGTTATCTAATCCAACCCCCTGCACAATGCAGGAAATTCACAACTATCTCCCCCCCCCACACCCCTAGTGATCCCTGCTCCATGCCCAGAAGATGGCAAAAAATCCTCCAGGATCCCCAGCAAAACTGGCCTGGAGAAAATTGCTTCCTGACCCTAAAGTGGCAATCAGCATTTCCCTGGGTGTGTAAGGAAGGGCCACAAGAACTAACCAGTGATGTAACCCTACCTGCCCTCCCTCTCATGATCTGCTTAAGTTCACACAATCAGCATTGCTGTCAGATGGCCATCTAGCCTCTGCTTAAAAACCTCCAAAGAAGGAGAGCCCATCACCTCCCGAGGAATCCTGTTCCACCGGGGAACCACTCTGTCAGAAAGTTCTTCCTAATGGTTAGCTGAAAGCTCTTTTGATTTAATTTCAACCTGTTGGTTCTGGTCCAACCTTCTGGGGCAACAGAAAACAACTCTGCACCATCCTCTATATGACAGCCCTTCAAGTACTTGAAGATGGTTTTCATATCACCTCTCAGTCATCTCCCCTTCAAGCTAAACACACTCAGCTCCTTCAAACTTTCCTCATAGGACTTGGTCTCCAGACCAATCATCATTGCCCTCCCCTGGACACATTCCAGCTTGTCTATATCCTTCTTAAATTGTGGTGCCAAAAACTGAACACAGTATTCTAGGTGAGGTCTAACCAGGGAAGAGTAAAGTGATACCATCACTTCATGTGATCTGGACATTACGCTTCTATTGATACAGCCCAAGATGGTATTTGCCTTTTTAGCTAGGGCATCACACTGCTGACTGATGTCCAGTGTATGTTCTACTAAGACTCTTAATTTTTTTTTTGCACATACTACTGCCAAGACAAATCTCCCCCCTCCTATAATCAGGCTGCCCTGAGCCTGCCCTGGCGGGGAGGGTGGGGTATAAATCAAATAAATAAATAAGTAAATAAATATGCATTTGATTTTTTCCCCACCTAAATGCAGAGCTTTACAGTTATCCCTGATAAAATTAATTTTATTTGTTTTAGTCCAGTTTTCGAGCCTGTCAAGATCACAGAATCACAGAGTTGGAAGGGGCCATACAGGCCATCTAGTCCAACCCCCTGCCCAATGCAGGATCAGCCTAGAGCATCCCTGACAAGTGTTTGTCTAGCCACTGCTTAAAGACTGCCAGTGAGGGGGAGCTCACCACCTCCCTAGGTAGCTGATTCCATTGTCGAACAACTCTTACTGTAAAAAAGTTTTTCCTAATATCCAACCAGCACCTTCCCGCCCTTATCATAAAATCACGGAGATGGAAGGGGTTATACAGGCCATCTAGTCCAACCCCCTGCTCAATGCAGGATCAGTCTAGAGCATCCCTGACAAGTGTTTGTCCAGCCACTGCTTAAAGATTGCCAGTGAGAGGGAGCTCACCACCTCCCTAGGCAGCTGATTCCACTGTTGCACAACTCTTACTGCAAAAAAGTGTTTCCTAATATCCAGCCAGTACCTTCCCGACCTTACTTTACTTATTGCGAGTCCTTTCCTCTGTTGCCAACAGGAACAGCTCCCTGCCATCCTCTAAGTGAAAGCTCTTCAAATACTTAAAGAGAGCAACCATGTCCCCCCCTCAACCTCCTTTTCTCCAGACCAAACATTCCCAAGTCCCTCAGCCTTTCCTCATAGGGCTTGGTCTCCAGGCCCCTGATCATCCTTATCGCTCTCCTCTGCACCCACTCCATTCTGTCCACATCCTTTTTGAAGTGAGGCCTCCATAACTGCACACAATACTCCAGGTGCATCCTGACCAATGCAGTGTACAGTGGAACTATGACATCTTGTGATTTGGATGTTATGCCCCTATTGATACACCCCAAGACTGCATTAGCCTTTTTTTATCACCGCATCACACTGACTGCTCATATTTAACTTTCGGACCACCCTTACCCCAAGATCACACACACTGTGTATCCCCCCATTCAGTATGTGTGTTCCTTATTTTTGTTACCCAGATGTAGAACTCAGGACTTATCCTTGTTAAATTACATCTTGTTCACATCCACCCACTTTTCCAGCGTGTTCAGACCTCGTTGAATTCTGTATCTTTTGGTGTGTTCGCTGTTCCTCCCAATTTGGTGTCATCTGCAAATGTAATGAGTAGTCCCTCCACACCCTCATCCAGATCATTTATAAAAATATTGAGCAGTACTGGGCCCAGAACCGAGCCCTGTGGCACCCCACTGGACACCTCCCTCCATTTAGATGAAATGCCATTGACA